GAATTTTATGAGATAAGCGAACCGGTTAGCATTACTGGTTACTGGCAATGTTCTGTTTGTAACAGAACCGGCTGACAAATATGACTTTTGTGAAGGAACCGACTGACAAAAAATTTGAATCCCACCACTGGATAAATCGCGATTTAAGTATGGGCATAGTGGACATTGTTATTTTAGTAGGAACATGTCTAGATTGCGATTTTTAAAGGGCCATACGGACATAGTCATTTTAGTAGAGACATTGCTGTTTTGACATGGGCATAGCGAACATAGCCATTTTGATAGGAACATAGCTGGATCGCGATTTCAGTAGGGACGTAGTCAATTTCGTAGGAACATGGCGGGATCGCTATTTTAGTAGGGACTTAGCCAATTTCGTAGGAACATAGCGGGATCGCGATTTTAGTAGTGACTTAGTCAATTTCGTAGGAACATGGCGGGATGGCTATTTTAGTAGTGACATAGTCAATTTCGTAGGAACATGGCGGGATGGCTATTTTAGTAGTGACATAGTCAATTTCGCAGGAACATGGCGGTATCGCTATTTTAGTAGGAACTTAGCCAATTTCGTAGGAACATGGCGGGATGGCTATTTTAGTAGGGACTTAGTTAATTCCGTAGGAACATGGCGGGATGGCTATTTCAGTAGGGACTTAGCCAATTTCGTAGGAATATAGCGGGATCGCGATTTTAGTAGGAACTTAGTCATATTCGTAGGAACATGGCGGAATCGCTATTTTTGTAGGGACTTAGTCAATTTCGTAGGAACATAGCGGGATCGCGATTTTAGTAGGAACTTAGTCATATTCGTAGGAACATGGCGGAATCGCTATTTTTGTAGGGACTTAGTCAATTTCGTAGGAACATGGCGGGATCGCTATTTTTTTGTAGGGACTTAGTCAATTTCGTAGGAACATGGCGGGATCGCTATTTTTTTGTAGGGACTTAGTCAATTTCGTAGGAACATGGCGGGATGGCTATTTTAGTAGGGACCTAGTCAATTTCGTTGGAACATAGCGGGATCGCGATTTTAGTAGGGACTTAGCCAACTTCGTTGGAACATAGCGGGATAGCTGTTTTAGTAGTGACATAGCCAATTTTGTAGGAACATAGCGGGATCGCGATTTTATTAGTGACATAGCCAATTTTGTAGGAACATAGCGGGATCGCGATTTTAGTAGGGACTCAGCCAATTTCGTAGGAACATGGCGGGATCGCGATTTTAGTAGGGACTTAGTCAATTTTGTAGGGAACATAGCGGGATAGCTGTTTTAGTAGTGACATAGCCAATTTCGTTGGAACATAGCGGGATAGCTGTTTTAGTAGTGACACAGCCAATTTTGTAGGAACATAGCGGGATCGCGATTTTAGTAGGGACTTAGTCAATTTCGTATGAACATAGCGGGATAGCTGTTTTAGTAGGGACTTAGTCAATTTCGTATGAACATAGCGGGATAGCTGTTTTAGTAGTGACATAGCCAATTTCGTTGGAACATAGCGGGATAGCTGTTTTAGTAGTGACACAGCCAATTTTGTAGGAACATAGCGGGATCGCTAATTTCGTAGAGAAATAGCCATTTTAGTAGGAACATAGCGGGATCGCGATTTTAGTAGGGACTTAGCCAATTTCGTAGGAACATAGTGGGATCGCGATTTTAGTAGTGACATAGCCAATTTCGTAGGAACATAGTGGGATCGCGATTTTAGTAGTGACATAGCCAATTTTGTAGGAACATAGCGGGATCGCTAATTTCGTAGAGAAATAGCCATTTTAGTAGGAACATAGCGGGATCGCGATTCAAGTAGGGGGAATAATGGACATTGCTATTTTAGTAGGGACATGTCGGGATCGCGAATTTGGAAGGAACATAGCCATTTCAGTAGGGGCATGATAATTTTATTACAGACATTTCTGTTTTAGTATGGGCATTTTAGTGCGCACATAGTCATTTTCGCGATTTTAGTATAGACATAGCCAATTAGTTTGGGACATAGCCATTTCAATAGAAACATGTCGGTATCGCGATTTCAGAAGGGAAATAGCGGCACGGTCATTTTAGTAGGGACATCACTGTTTTGATATGGGCATGGTGAAAATAGCCAATTTAGTGGGAACATAGCCATTTTAGTAGAGACATATCGGACATTGCTCTTTTAATAGGGACATAGCCATTTTAGTAGAAACATTCCTGATCGCGATTTTAGTAAGGACATAGCCAATTTAGTAGGGACTTACCGGGAGCGCGATTTCGGAAGTTTATAGCCAAGTTTAGGTATAATCATTTTATTGGATACATCGCTGTTTTAGTATAGGCATATAGCAGACATAGCCATTTTACATAGCTGGATCGCGATTTTAGTAGGGACACACCTAATTACCGTAATTTCAGTAGGGATGTAGCCAATTTATATATGCAAAGGTATGGGATTTTAGTTCGGGTTTCTAATGCTGTTATTAACTTTGACAGAAGAGGGAAAATAATTTTTTCTTATAATGCTTATCTTTTTATATCTTTCATAATTCCTATCTGACAGCCTCGAGTTGATCTTCGTGTGTGAAAGCACCTATGAAGTATTTTATAAATGGCCCATACATGTCATATCATTCATATCTCTGGAAGTTTTTTGTATCACTGTAAATTCGGAATTCGTATTGTATACTAAAGAGTTATTTGTTTAATTCTGTTCAATGTATCGCCTTACCTATAACAGGGATTGTAGAGAATCGTTCGGCGATGACCTCATATTTTTTCGATTAAATTTTCATATACCGGTATTTGGCAATTGCCGACATGCTTATGTAAATACTAGTCGTTGAACAATTTCTCTGAAAAATAACTTTCTATCAACGTTACTGTGTTAAGTTTTATCCGACGAGCATCGACCTCATTCTATCAATTGAAATATGTTTACAAAGTTTCCCCAATAACTGACTGCGCTTTTAAATTCCATCTGAAATGAGAAACAGTTATTTTCTTGTTAGCGCATTGTTTAACATGGTATGTTTTCATGGCGGGATATTTGAAAATTTGAATTATCACGTGACCACACGAAGATAAATTATCGTAATCGTAGTCTCGGAAAAAAAATTTGAAATTTACTGATTTGGTGGATTAGTTTATAAATACAAATTTTCTCAATACAACAACTCAGCTATATTTCCTTTGAAATAAATTTCAGTGTAAAGTTGTTAAAGCGTAACGAATAACCTCTGGCATCGTTAAATTTCAAGATAAGATAAATTACGCAACATTGGTAAACATTAAGTACGGTCGCTGCTTGCTGGGTAAACAATGAGCTAATGACGTCGAATACACAAAGTTACCATATTGTTACACAATGTCCAACAGATAGACAGCAATTTTTTGACTGAATTCACTTTAATATAGATTTTAGAATATGTGGATATCAGGGAAGTTTTAGTGCTTTTTCGTATTTTGGGAGTTTATTTTTTCAATTTAATTGGCGAATTAAGTAACTGGAATTGTTCTATACTATCTACAATCTATAGCAACAAAGACATTGCTGCTCGGAAAGTAATAAACAAGTTATGTGACGACTCAAAAGGAAACTGTCGCAGCCAACGAGCGAGCGCTTGGTAACGCAGGCTTGCGGACCTGGGATTTAGTTTTTTGATTCATCGTGTTTCTGTTGCTGTTATTAACCACGACAAATAGAAGGGGAAATAATCCTAAATTACATATCGTGGTTATGTTCAGTCCCAGTTATATTTCTTATAATTTCAATATGTATTTCAAAATGGTTTAGATAGTTTTTAAGTACTTTCAATTCGGCAATTTTATCCGCTTCGAAATGTAAGGTAACAACGCTCAATGAACCTCACGTAATTATGTTGGGCAATATAACATTTAATAATTTTTTGGCAAATCAATTACTCAAACTGTTATCATTTATTTAAAAACATCTGTAATAATTGTTAAAATAGGTTGTTCTCTATTGCATTATCCAAAATATATTGTGGATATGTTTTGGAATCGTCCTAAAAATCGTATGCTGTACAAAAAAATGTAAAAGTTACGAAGATTTGAATGTAAGCACATTGTTAGCAAGCAATAAGGTCCAAAGATAATTCGTTTTGTCGAGTATTACTGCTTTGTGTATTATGCTTGAGCATTTATTATTATTCAATTCAACGTATCGTCTTATATATAATAGAAATTGTCATATTTAAATGTGAGCACATTGTTAGCAGGCAATTGGGTGCTCCCGTAATATTCGTATCTAGATGGCGCACAACCTGAACATAGTATGTGTACCAGATCATGGTTAGAAGGTTGTGCGTCATCATGGTACAAATACAACGAGAGCGTCGAATATTGGGCCTGAAGATAAATGTTATGTTACGCATGATAACTGCCTATATAATGCTTGAGTATTTGGTGTTATTTTGGAGACTTGTTGACAGTCAGTTAGTTTTTTCAACATACTCGATTCTAATATAAGTTGAAAGGAAGAGTAGACAAAAACGTATTTGAAAACGTTGTACGGATTATGCTTTTTTATTTGTGTTTCAGTTGATTCGGTTAACCAGTAAAAATGTATTTGGACAAATAGGAAAATATTTTAAAACATTATAATATCGTATTATATTGCAAACGTAAAGCGTTGTTACTTGTTGTCAATATTCTCATTCGAAACAGCATCGTCTCTGGATTAAATATTTAAAAATACAATATGTAGAAAACACCGCAAAAACAAAAATACATCTCTAGATATGTCAAATTTATTTCAATATTTGGTGCTTTTGGGGCGCTTCCGAAATATGTATACCAAGATGGCGCACAACCGGAACTTGATGTGTGTACCAGGTTAAAGTTCAGGTTGTGCGTCATCTTGGAACGAATACTTCCGGATCGCCTCTTTTGGTGCCGAAGCATTAAATACAAGAGAAAAAAACACATATTGACAGATTTGATTGAACTTAAATACAGAAATATTTTACTTGCCACAGGAATATAAACCAGTAGAAATCTAGAATAATGTCCGACTCAGAACAACAAATCGATCCTAGTTTGATTGATCAACAAACAATGGAGTCTATCGATCAACAAACAGACAAATCCGATCTTACCGACCCAGAAACAGTCGAGGCGGATCCAGCTGTTCAACCAATAATCGAGTCCGATATCATTGATAACAATTCCAGCAATGATACCGACGATTCAGGAAACGAATCCCCACAACAACAACAACAACAACAAGGACCTATGATTCAGGACTTGGGTCCTGAGAATGAGATTCATGAAGAGCAAGGTCCAGGACAGGAATATCAGGTTGAAGAACCAGGCGAAGGTGAGAAATGTATATTGGAAGTGAATTTCCTTCTGTAGCATTCTTAGAATCAAACTGCCGCGGAGCCTTTTATCGACGGATATTTCCTATATATAATAATGCTAGGTATTTTCTTATAAATCACAAGTGAAAAGGTGAAAGACTAATTTTAATCACTGAATAGGCTGTTTGCAATAATAGATCGAAGTCCGTGCATACAAATTCACTCACGAATAGGTGAAGTATAAGTGTTTAAACAGGGTGATTTCAACCAGGTATATTCATATCGAGGATAGATAAAACAAGAGCAGTGTAGCAAAACGATAAAATTCGCAGACGTTGTTGATTATTGACTGATTTCTCTATCGCAAAGGACACCAGCGTATATACATAATAAGTCAAAAATTGTCAAAACGTAAAATGTAATCTAATACCACAACAGCATAGTAATAGATTTAAGTAACTTAGCAAATGTTCCACAAACAACAATTTATACACGGGCAGGAACAGAACCAATTCTTTATCATTCATCAAATTTTTATCTGTTGTTCATGTTTTCCTGTAGTGGGTTTCGTTTTCTTTTATCTTGCTGTTATTCCAATCAATGCTGTGATCTTTAGAATGGGCATGTTGCTTGCAAGAGGGCCTGCATTTTAATTTTATTCTGTTACTCATCTCACTGCTGTTCCTTGCTTTGAGTTTCGAGAAGTTTTTTGTTTGTTTCTCCAATACTTACACTCGCTACATGGAATTGAATTACATCGTTTGCTAACACTGGTTGTACTGCATCTATCTTTGTTTAATGGTTATACACTGCTAAACTCCAATCGTGTATAGCTGTTCAATATTAGGTACCGTTTTTTATTCTATAACACGTTACTACTCCATTAGTGTGTGTACCAGGTAGGGGTTAGGCCATAATTCTATTCTGATTTTCTTATTTTAGTTCTATTACGAGATCGGGAACCCTCTGTGTTAGCCAAGTGAATATTCCCCTGCCCATCGGCTTCTGTCCCTTTATACAACTTGATGTAAACTAGGCAAACAAAATTAGTTACCTCCACATTGGTACACGCATATCATACGTTTGATATTGCCCGTCATTTGGTTATTGAATACGGAATCCGTTTTAGGCTTAGCAGATACGAAAAGAAGTCTATTTGTCTGTTTAAAAACAAGTCAATGCTCAAATTATTTTTATTGCTATTTGATGAATTTGTGTTAAAATGCCAACGAAAGAAATTACGACTTAGCTCGTAACAAAAATAATTTGAACTAACTAACATCCCTGGTGAATGCCGATGACAAATAATTTGCGCGATTGTTGGTACCTTTCCTATACCTTGATCGGGGAACGCAAGATTTATGAAATCGTCTCTTAATCTCAATTTATAAAGAAAATTTAAATTTAAATCAACAGTTTAGCCTGGATGTGAATTACCATACAATGGACTATGAAGCGACCTATCGTAGGGTTGAAAGCAGCCGCCCCTATTTAGACTGACAATCAACTTGGTGAAAACAATATTATTTTCTATGACCAACAAAATATAGATGGATAGACGCGAGATGTCACTAATTTACCTTCATTTCACCAGTAATTATATTTAGTTCTATTACGATTTCGGGGACTAGCCAAGTATTTGTACCTGAAATTATGGCCTAACCCTAACCTGGTACACATACTACATTCCGGTGTCCGCCATCTAAGTTCACATATTTCAGGATCACCTATAGGAAAATGAAAAATTCCAATCTTTTCATGGCATAAATATTCAATATATTAAGGAAGGTATTTGCTTCAATTAACAGTCGCTTAAAGTATTAATTCATTTACATTTTCAGGACCGTCGGTTGTTCACCAACCGTCACAACAGGTGGTTCAACAACTCACAGCAGCACAAGGTGGACAAGCAGGCAATGTCGTTATAAAACACATTCACCATCATCGCACACTGCATTACCATGTCGCCCCGGTTTATCAAGGCTCAGTAATAAAAGGAGACATCGTGGGGTGAGTAGTCAGCTTTAATTCTGAAATGTTATTTTTTCAAGAATTAAAAAATCCAAGCATTTTGCCGCTCTTGCCATATTCCGTGGATTTTGTAACTCCCACTACTTGATTTTGTAAAGCTGTACTTCCTTTTATACACAAGCATATGTTTTGTTATGGTATAAGAAAAAATTTATAGTCAATTGTTAAATACCTACAAAATGCATTATTTAGGGCAAAAATTTCCCTACAGTTTGTAAACGTTTTTTCAAATAGTATAGTTGTAATCGTTATTCAAAATCATTGTGCTCGACAAAGTTAGTCAAATTTAAAGTTCAGCACCTTTGGGAAAATGAGTGAACATTTAACTTAGCATGGTAGCCGATGAGACATGGTATAATATACGTTGATATGTACAACGGCTGTACGGGGCGCTGTGAGATTAAAACAAACAAAGGAGCGGCATTTCCTCGTGCGAAATTAATGACGCGTACTAATGCAAACATTGTCGCTTGTCGAGTCTGGCATGTCCTCCGCCACTATTAAAAATAGAATTACCACTTTCAGCCAGATATTATTCACGTCCTAAAAACTTCCACTTTTTTGGAGATACGAATCAAATGATATTCACGTCAATAAAGCGACTGTCAATTCACCCAACTTAATACATCCACTACATTTATTATGACAAAGAGCGTGAAAAGCAGACTCTTTAAATGAATTTTATTCAATTTATTTTTTTTATCTTTTCAGGTCGAAAGCTCAAGTAAAAGACGCAACAATTGGATCTATTGGTGGTACGTATTGTTCAAAATTGAGTGAACTTGGCCGAAGTCAATCAATGACCAAATTCCATAAAAATCAAAACTTGGGTAAAACAACGATTGTTTTCAAAAATAATTTCTCAATTAAAATTTCCACTCATTTTAAAATATTCTTTTGTTGATTAATTCAAGGCAATAATATTCGCAAGGGAGCAATGCAGAAATATACAGACACTCCTCACTTCGGTACCGAAAACACCTTTCAGTTGAGCACCGCGTTTGCTGAATATCTCTGCGATCGTGACGCCATAAAGTGCTCCTTTACGTCACAAAAGTCCCATGGGCTGCAAAGGCGTCAGATAAAACTTGGAAATAAAAGTGACGAGTTCTCCATCGATCTTTGAGTATTAACAATTCTCAACTGTTTGGTCTGATAGTTGCGCGGAAAGTCAAACAATAACATTAATGTTATGACACATTCAACTGGTGTCAGACTATTTGTGAAAAGATTGGCGATCTATGGTGACGAATTAAAGTGTTCCCATACTCCCACAGATGTTCCCATGATATAAATTTGGACAAAATATAGGTCCCGTAGAATTTTGAAAAAATTAAATAAAAAGCTTTCTAGCGACTCTTCAGGTACAATTTTGGGCGCTCCATAGCTATGTGTACCAATACGAAGACAACTAATTTTGTTCTCATACTTTACATTAAGTTGTGTAAGGGACTGAAACCCATGGACCTTTCCCCGACCTTTGACCCCCGAAAAATTCTTCCTATACTTTGCCATTGCAAAGTTTTCGGGGGTTATTTTAAGAGTGGTATCACGAGTTGGCGCCTGTAAAATGGGGTATTTGTTTCAAACCATCATTATAATTCATCGCCTACAACAATCTGTTTTTTAAAAGTACCGGCCTTACCCTAACCTGGTACGCATACTATGGGAGTACCCAATTTGGAAGTCGACTACTAGTCCAGTATTTCCATAGAATACGATTTTCCACTGCAACAACCCCGATACCTGTTCATACATGTTCATTTAAAATTATCCCGGCCTTATGTTGCAAATTTAAAATATAATACGTTTGTTTCAGGGTCACAACCTCCAGCGATCGGTGGCCCAGAGGGACAAGCAGCCCTAGCCTGGCTTGGTGAAGGAGCATCTGGTAGTTCTCAGGTACCTGCAATAGGTGGTCCCGAACAACGACCTGCTTTACCTTGGCATGGAGAAGGAGAAAGACAAGGTTTGTGTTAGATATGTTGTGATACCGGTACATCCAACCTACATCAAACTTAGAACCGCTCAATGTCTTGGGTCCCCTGAAGTACCACTACATGCCGCAAGTATTTCTAGTTTGCCTGGCTCAACAATTTTTGCATATGTCATTCCTAACCCCCACCTGACTATGTCATCCGAAAATTACATAACTTCGAAGTCGCAGTGACGTAATACGGCCCTCCAAAGTATACGGATAATCGGCAGACAATCATCCGAAATCGAGCAAGCTATTTCTCTCGTTTCTCGTCGAAACAATACCGATAAGAGAGAGATCGTTGATGTTAGTGTGAATTCATTAGTGAATTGGCGCGGCGGTGTGGCTCAACGGTCTAAGCGTTAGGAATACGCTCGCCACCGCACCTCTAAGTACTCTGCGTGGGTTCGCAGGTTCGAATCCCTATGTGCGAGAGGATTGCTGGACTCCTCGCCGTCGTTGGGTGGTTCATGTAACCGCTGGTCGGTTAAGGCTTCCTCCACCACCAAGTCCATGCTTCCGAAAAACAAAACAATATAACTAATCCCACACCCGACTTGGAATGGTAACCGGACGAGAGGTCGTGGTTCGCCATATGAATAAGCCATCTTATCGGCTTTCCTCTCCCCCGGGATAAATATGTAGATCCTATCCAATACCCAAGGTTTTTTTCAATCCTGAAATTTCTGATTTTTGGACGAAACTTTGAAAGCGTTAGACTTTACTATATCAGCGTCGCTGATTACAGATCTCAAGTTCAAATCTCATGATCCTACCTCACCCAAGATGTAATAATTTGGCAATGCCCGTCTCGAAAGTTTTGTGGCCTACAACTATTTCAGTTTTTGCATTTTGTTGGATATCAATTACTGCCTGCACACAGCGTTATTCAGAGCGCAATGCGTGAGTTAGCGTCATGTAAAACATAGGCTGAAAATATGTGGATACGAGGCCCCCACCTCCACAAAGCTGTGAGTAGGGATGGTTGTGGAATGTTATGAGCTTGAAAGATTCTCAACCTTCCACATCTAAGCTATCTTCTTATCAGTGGCCTCTTATCAGCCTTATTTGAAGGCGAGAAATATCTCATAATAATAAAATATGAACCGAAATCGGGGTCGTAGAATTTGACTTTCATTCATTGATATTGGAGTTGGAAACTGGATTCGTGTTTTAAAACTTCCAAGTGTTGAAAATAAAGAGAGAATTTTTATCGAAATCTCAGATCAATAATTATGATCAAAGAAAATATTTTTGACAGAAACTTTTAAATTTTTTCACTAAGTTTTTAAATCCCAAAATTGAAGACAAAGTAACATACTCGAAATCTGTTCTTTTGGTTTAAGCCGAAGTAATTTTTATCACCCAGAGTCATTTTTGAAATAGTTTGTAACTTTGAAAGTAAGCTGGCAGTTAGTATGAAATTGACAGCCCATTTCTAATATGTTTTGTAAATTTTTTCAATGCTTTTTTTTTGTCATAGCGCTCCATCCTGGTAGTAAGCCGACAACCAGTATATAATTGGCAGCCCATTTCTATTGCGTTTTGTCCAATTTTTTTAACGCTACTATTTTGTCATAGCGCTCCATCCTGGTGTCAATCAACCTCTCGCATTGCCCGCCCCAGAAGCGCAGATAACTTCATCAGGGAACGAACAGCTTGAGGGGATTGAGGCGACAGTGCCAACCAACGAACCAGAAATATTAGATTCAATAAAGCCGAAGAAAAAATCAAAGAAAAGGGAAAACAGAGAAGGTGAAAATAGCATTATTATACCATAAATACCCTGAAGGTTTTATTGTCGAGTGGTGGAATTATTTTTTAAAAAGAGTCAAAAATTAATAAACTCCATGAAACCTTTGAAAATATTATTAAAATATTATTGCAGGCTGTTGTAAGTTGGACACACAATTCCGAACTGTAACTGTTTTGATTGAAAAAAATATTATTTTTGAATATCTTATTGGCTGCCTCCCATAGGCCTACAAAGCCCCTCGTGAAAATGAATAAAACTCAGGTCCAGCAGTTGAAAGAAAGGCAATTTGCCTCGATATAAGTCAAATACGCATTGTTATGGTTGAAAGGTTCTTTCTCAATGTTCCGACTTCTCCGCCAATTATTTTTGATTAAAAATGTTTTTGACCATCACATGAATTCTAAACTCATGTCAGGTACCCAATTAAAGAAAACATATTTTAACACAATTTCCCGACGTCAAATTAATACGCAAAATATTTCTCTTTCCTTGATAGACAATTTGGATATGATGCAGATAATCCTGTGTATTTTGTTGTATATTTTATTTTACTATATATTTTTACTATATATCTAGGTTCCAGCCGAGATCCAGTTTCTATGCCTTCAAAACGTCCATATGTGGATAGAAGTTGTGTTGACGAAAAAACATTAAATCCGAACGTAACGACATCTAAAGTAATTGGTATGCGCCAGTAGTTAGTTGACGTAAAAATATATGGAAGATTTTCTTCGAACGACATATATATTGGTCTGTCTGTTGTACGTGAACAAAATGTCAGACGACAATGTTCTGTGGTCCAGGTCCAATTTACAGAATTAAGCTCACATCAATTTATTGTCGCCAACCTATCATTTATGTTACATCCCATAAAACATTCCCATGACTTGAAATGAAACAATGAAATTTTCGATGAAATGTTAAGTCTCTTGAGATTTATAAAATGTTGAAAGAAAAGTATTGGCGGTCTAGCGGTTTCAACATTCTCGAGTTTTGAAAATTTGGACTCAATCGATTAGTCAAATACGTATGAAAAAAAATAAATTTGAATAATTAGTCTTATTCAATAAAGCCTCAACAACAGAGAATTCACTAAAAATTAATTTCGAGTCAGGAGCCCAGACAGTTGCATTATTTTATAATTTATGCTTTTTCTGAATCCTGATATACTATATGGAGATTTTTATGAAAATGATTCCATTAGTGGTGATGTCATTAAATTCAAAAATCCTTCTAGTTATAGCCTGAAAGTTGTGTGAGGCGAAATTAATTGCTGCGCAAACACTACACTTCACTTTATTCTGCTTCAAATTCAATTGTTCAAATACTTGATTTACATTTAGGAATCCCCACTGCATCAAATCCAGAAATACCAGAAGCTTTTCCAACTGAACCTTCAGATAGACGAGATACAAACGTAGCATCTGGAGCAAAACCCAATACAGCAAGTAGAAATATTTAATATAATCCTGTTCTGTTTGTTGGGTATTTCAATAGTTGTTATACTCTATCACATTGAAAAAGGTTTTAGGCGAGCAGCCCATAATTAGGCAAAAAAGCTTCAATTGGGCATTAGTTTGATAGGTTGATTTTGTCATGACCAATAAAATTATTGGACTTCACGGCTCGGAAGACTTTTTTATGAAGACCGGAATCTTTCCTTCTTGGCATTCCATACCCAAATTATGACACACATGTGAATTAGCGGATATAAAATTGGAACCTTAATTTGATAATATAATATCTCTGAACAAGGATACTCACAACGCCATATGCTATTGCATTTTCAGGCTAGTTCTGTGAGAAGTTTCACCACCATACGGTGAATTGTCGTTCTGCTCCATTAGTAAAATTTTCGACAAGCTACCTACAACGTCAAATTGCTACGACTTGCTGTATTATTCATAATATTCAATTTTTGCCCCATCCTCAGGTTCTTGTTCTGGGTTTAGTAAACATAGATTTAAAGTAAGGTATTAGTTAGATAGCGTACCAAGTATAATTTTTCAATATCATTCATATTTCGAAGAACCGAAGAGAGGACCTCAAATATTTCTCGCTCAACTTCATTATATACAACAACAGTTGTATAAATCAAGCCTTCACTCCACAGAATTCAGCATTTTAAAATTTGAAAGCTTGTTCAAGCGGGGAATATCCCACCAGCCATCTTGTGGGCTTGATGGCCGTCTCATATAATCTCTTGTTGATGTGGTTGGTAGTTCAGCTGCTTGAGCCACACTCACCAAACACTGAAATTATATTCCTATTTCCAAATTTGATTTGGTATTGAACATCTAGTGTCGTTGCTTGATAACCAGCATTAGTTCACCCCTGCTTCTCTTCCTCAGTAAAAAATCATTATTTACTTTTTTTTAATTCAGATGCTAATATTTACTGGATAAAAAATAAACTTGAATATGACTTTATGCCTTATTAACTGTAAGTGTGTGGACTCACCTAAATGGCGCCCCCTAGCAGTATTGCCAACGTCAAGATAAAAACACTAGTTTTGCCATTCCTGTGATAATTCACATATTTCTACAAAGTCAACGGACAGCTTTTTCGACCTAATTTTCCAACTAATAATGACAGATCAACAGATTCGACCAACAGCTGGACAGATAGGACCAAGAGATTCTCTGCCGCATCCAGAGCAGACTGAAACGGTGGATTCCAGGGACAGTCAATCAGGTATTATTAAAATATCTGCAGAAATTTTGAAAAATGTTACTCGCGCAATCGTCGAATTTCTATATTATGAAAATTTATAATCCTTTTATTGTAACGTAATATCAAGCATAATTGTTGAGTCCTTATAAACAAAATAATTCATATAATAATATGAATAATATTATTGTCATAATATATTGTGAAATGAACATATAATGTATAATTAGTTTTATAGTTACATGCATTTATACAGTGACGATACAAACTGAGCTCAAACTCTCGAAGTAATAAAACAAACAAACCCATGAATTTTATGGTGCGACTCTTTATGTATACGCTGTTTACGCACATACAATTGATCACTGCATAGCTGTACTAGGATAATCGTGAATAGGAAATGGGCCATCTCATTGCTTTCATCTTCTTATGTTGAAGGTTTTTTTGCCAAATTGTTCAATATTCGTGTTGAAGTAAACCGCGTAGCAGGGCATGGACCGGCGTTATTTTCTTTTAACTAAATCTGGTATTTTTTTGTCATATTGATCAATCGTTTATTTGAAATATGACTTGGAAGAGAATAAGAGGGAGGGGTATTTGTGAATCTTTTTTAAATTTTATTCCAAGTTTGAACTAAATCCAAAACAAAATGTCAAAAAGTTTTTCTGGCCAAAAAATGAATCACGTATATTTACCACATGTTCTACTTTGTATGAATCAATATGCCTGACTTGACTTTTAATGTTTGTATTTTATTAGCTCTGGATCCCTCTGTAAGTTCGGCCATTCATGAACCGCTTATACCAGAACCACGGGCATCACTTTCAACAAACGAACAATTACTAGAGAGAGTGACGCAATTACCATCTAATGTGCAACCGCCGATCTCAACAAAGCTGAAAAAACGACCAAGCAAAAAAGGTATTGAATATGTTTACTTCATGATTTAGTATAAGTTTCATCAAATACAAATTTTAGATTAAAACTATTGACTTGTGGTCAGACATTATTTGCCAATTTGATTCAGTGATGAATTAAATTCTTTAAGCTCCGAATAACAAGTATTAAAGTTGAATTCTTTGCTTTACTTACATTCTCTCAAGATGATAACCATGTTATTACAGCCAGCTAACTGGATAAATATTTCAATAAACCATTGCAAATATTGTCAATTTACTTTATAACCAGATCGACCATCAGTGCGATTTTCATCCCAACATGAAGTCGAGGAGAGAAGTTTTGTTGGTGAAGATACCGATGTAACTATTCCTAAAGCTATTGGTAAGCACTCATGCCCAATAAATGTTCTCAATTTCTGGTCCGCAATTTGTATTTGAGGTCCATGTTCCTGGCGAATCCTGACATATTCAGTTTTAATTTCTAAAAACGTTCGGTCTCACACATAGCAACTTTTCGTAGCTCGGAACGCTTTTTAGAACATCAATTCTCTCTGAAACTCGCGTTTTGCAGACTCCGGCCAGACCACCCAGCTGTTACAGTCTAATTTGGCAATTGCAAATTTCAGAAACCCCCTTTTGAAAATTCTTGGCTATAGTTCCTCAGGTATGATTGATTTCTGTAGCTCTGCCTCGACTGATATGAAAAATTGCTGTGACCAGAACTGCCAAGGGCTAACCCGAATCCGAACTGGTTGAATGTCTTTACAAAATTCTCAATTAATAAACTTTCATGTTTCATGACATGACTTTGGTATTCCCCTTTATAAATCTCAATTTCCAACTCCATCTGAAAAAAAAAATCCATCTGGAAGTCTGACAACACGACTATGGCAACCAGTTTCTCTACCGAGAAATTACGCAGTCCCCTCCCCCTGCCTATGACTGAAAATAGAAGAACTAAAGAAACATGTCAGTGTACCATAGTTTTTTAATCATTTATTAGATATTTTGCAGGAGATTTTAAATGTGGAAGATCTGAGTCTTGCCATTTACCTTCCTAAATGCTAAGCTGATTACAATTTGGCAACAATATTATTTTAGTTGTGAGGATTTATAAATATTATACCAGAAATATCAACACACTCATTTCTACTCAAATAACATACCTAATTGAAATTGACTCCAACGTCTGTCTTAATATCTTTCATTAGGAATTTACAATCAGTATTTCGTTCACAGGCGCCGGTATGGAAGACAGATATTTGCCAGAACAAGATGAAACAACTGAATATGAAACGTCTGAAGGTGAGTTGAGGCATTGATTATAATTCCTTGCAAATATATTTTTGTGGCATTGTGCTAATATCAATTTGTAAACTCAGCTGTTATATTGTGTGTTGATTAATACTTGCAACGTATCAACCAATAATAAAATAGAAAATTCTGGATTTATGATTTTACAAATATTTACTGAGATTTGGCAACAAAGTATTAAAAAGTATTTAGAAGGACACGCAAGATTTTTTAAGGTTCTCTGTTAGTTGAAAATACCATCGATTCAAATTTTATTTCGACTTTCCACTCGACAAGACTTTTTAGATGATTAAATTTTTAATGATATATACTAATATTATAGATAGCGACAGCGACAGCGAACTATCAAACATTATCAGAAATCTTATCGAATATCAAAAAGGTGGATCTGTTAAAAAGTCAGAAAGAAAAAAGGGAAGAAAAAAGTCTAGGGGTATGATCAGAAAAATCCCTTTTATTACATTGTTTATTGGGTCATTGGTGCTACCACATTGTTCATTGTATATATTTGCTGATAGTGCTCCCGAAGTATGTGAACCAAGGTGGCAGACACCAGAACGTAGTATGTGTACCAGGTTAGGGTCAGGCCATAATGTTATTCCAATTTTTCTTATTTTAGTTCTATTACGAGCTTGGGGAACAGCGGGGTGACTCTCATACTATTTGTACCTGAAATTACGGCTAACCCTGACCTGGTACACATACTATGTTCCGGTGTCCATCATCTTGGTTCACATACTTCGGTAGTACCCAATATTATGTATTTCAGATATTCTGGAGCTTTAATTTAAAATGTCAGATCTGATGCCTTATATTAATTTTCAAGATGCAAAAAAAAACAAAAAAGAAGCAAAAAAAAAATTATTTTTCCTGTTACACAGTCTTATTAATAGGCTCTGTTATTAAAATCTAAAACAGTGGTTATCGAACTTTTTTTTAAATTGTTCATAACGATCCCCTTTAAATTTTTCTGATGACTTGCGGTCCATTAATGGAATGAGAACAAATATCAAGCATTCATCTATTGAATGACATTAAAACAGTTTGATGAGATAGTTGCGCCTGCTTGGCTGCCACTAGTTCTTCTACCTTGGAGCACGACATCAAAGCACGACATCAAATTTTACTTCAAATCAAAGTGCGAGGTTAAAGTTGTCTCGCAGCCCCCTAAGCGACCGCGGACCCCAGTTTGAGAACTAACGATCTAAAACATGTATTCCTGTTTTCAGATGCCAGATTTTTGTCCGGCGTGAATGAAGCAAGCGGGAGTGGCGATTGCGAGGAATCGATGTATGGGATTGATCCTGCAAAAGGTAAGTTTATTGTATACTGATTGAAAGCAACTGTAGTATAATATTAATTTTGGAGCACCTTAAATACTGTTCATGTCATATACCCGCCCATAAAGAAAAGATGGCTATTATAAGTTAACTCTATAATTAGTGTTTTTTCATTACAGAAAGCGAGGGTGAGAGAGAATTATCCAGCATTGCCAAAGACCTCATGGCCTACATAACACATAAAACTAACCCAAAGTTTTCAAGACAGATAGAGGAAAGTTATTTTGAAGGTGAGGCTCAAACAGACTTTTTAAACTCAATTAGTTTCTGCGTTACAACGCTAGGTTTTACCTTTATTTATTTGTCTGTGTGCTTAATACCTGTTATCTTTTCAATGAGGCTTGAGTTGTTTTTGTTAATATTATTTATTTTACTCAAAATGGTTTTGGTCGTACAGCGGGCTAGGATGAGTTTAGCTCATCTCTTTCTTCCTATACCAAAATCATAACTGGGAGGTGATGGGTCATTTTTGAAACGTTGTTGAGATGCCTCATCGTACAAGTTGTAAAATATTTTTTATACTAAATGATTTTATACTGTTTATATAATTTCCAACTATTTTTAGACCGATCCTTCACCAACAATTCCTCGCAAGAGTGCCACGTCAACCTCGAACGTGAAAGAGACGGAATGAACCCAACAGATCAGACACAACCGAGTGGTAGAGAATTTCCTGTAAAGAAACGCGACACAAGTGACAAACATTTACAAACAGATGATCCAGACTATAATAAAGAATATGAGACTTCTGTCTTGAAAATGACTGAGATTTTCAAGAAAGAACGGGATATACAAACATCAAATGAGCTTAATTATCTCTTGCCTTTCATTGAAATTTTCTGGACTAAGATTTTATTTAAAATGACAATGGCTGGTTACAATCGTCCATCCGGGGCTCCGGAAAAACTATGGTCAAATTTCACAGATGAAATTATTTGTGATCGAGGTTCAGAAATAACAATGAAACCGTACATTTCAAAAATAAAAGACGTCATGAAACTAGGCGAAGAATTCATTTCCAGCGGTAAATACATTCATGCTGTAGTTGCGTTCTATGCAGCTGCTAAACTTCATCGACAAAGCGGAAAAGGCAACGAATCAGTGAAAGGTATATGGACTTGCTTCGATAGAGCTGGGTTTGTTGCCGAAAAAATGCAAAAATCTGTGCAAACTGCACATGTTGCTCTGAATCACGTGATTCCAATTATGCATGAAATGACTGACTTTCTGATGCCTATTCACAGTCAAAGTCAATTTGCAGAAGAACTGGAAACTAACTCAAAAAAATTTGTCGAAGAGAAGAAACTCATTTCAGCCACAGTCACATTGTATATCGCAGCCAAACTGCACAAAGAGACAAATGAAGGTGATGACTCAGCTCATGGTGTTCTGTCATGCATTGAACAAATAAGCTTAGTCATGGAAGAAATGATGGAACAGAAACAATCAAAAACCCTAAGTCATGTGATATCACTCATTACTGAAATGATAGATTTCATTGGAACGATTGAAATATCAAACTACAGTCAGTTTACCAATGAAATAGAAAGCAAAGCCGAAGAATTCGATTCAGAAGAAAAGTTCATTCCATCTGTAGTTTCATCCTACGTCGCTGCTAAACTACATGGACTTAATAATAAAGGAGATCAATCGGTGAGAAAAATTCATCAATCTGCTTTCCAAATACAACTCGTCGTTGAAAAGATGACAAAACAACTTCCAATGAAAAAGATTGTCATAGATCACGTGATACCACTTATGCATGAATTGTTAGGGATATTGCGAACGATAAAAGCTTTGACTCAAAAAGTCGGAGTAGAGCAGGAGGCTTGGTGTTTACTTCGCATCGGTTGTTGCTACGGTTACTGCGATGAACATCAAGAATCTGCGAACATAAACCATTCCGCAATTATACTTATAGAAAGACAACTTGAAGAACCTCAAACATATCGAATATATGGACATTGTCTCCTTAATGCAGGATATGCGTATGATAGAATGGGAAATATAGAGAAAGCGATTGAATTGTATAAAATGTCGCTGAAAGCATTTGCGAATGCTGAAGATTATCCAAGTGATAAAGTTAAGAATGACGATATTGAATTAACAAGAAAGAATTTGAGAAGAGCTAAATCTATGTTGCCCAAATAGGTTTATCGGTTTAGTGAAATTAAGATCGATCTAGTGTGGACCAAAGATGAATCACACTATGTTGGAATCGCAAAGAACTCGAATCCCATCGCCTCACCCAGTGTGTCAATAATGTTGAGACAGAAAGCTATCCGTCTATATAATAATAGAAGCTTTTCATGTATCAGTGGAAGCTCGCACAAAGCCTTGTTCGGAGCGAAAAAGTGAACAGTCTGATAAAAATATTATCTATGGTCCATACTTGATTTTGTATTTAGTGATAAAGTATTCGATTAAATTTTCAAAGTCTGCTTGAAATAAATTTAAGAGTTTAAAGAGCACGGCATATATCTTGATGCAGCAATCAGATTCTTGTGCTAGGATAAAACTTCTATATGATTAGATTTTTTCGTGATAGCATTGAAAATTCAAACAATCATTTTACATGAAATATAAGTGATTTTTACGGTTTTGATTTACAGCAAACTTTGTTACACCGTTATTTATCAATTCATATGAAATTCTAGTTTACTTTACAATTTGTTTAATAGCGATTTACTGAATTCAATTTCATCAATACATTGTTTATTATATTTTGTGAAGGTCTTATTTTTAAAGTAAGCGAAAGCCATACATGGCCCATTCTAAACATGGAATCCAGATTTGCCCGCTGACACTAGATTCACTTCATTTCCGGTTTCCTACTTCGAGGGAAGATTGTTGACTCCAAGTCGCCAATATAAGAATAGAATAAATTTCCTTTGGTTAACTGAATTTGATTTATGATTATTATGGAATTCAGAATAGTCATTTACCCATTCCCCTGACTTAAGAACTTTAAAAGTAGGATTCGTCCCCAACAAATATAAAAAGTCAAATCTGTTTCTCTAGTTTTGTTTCTTGTTTGTAGCGATTTTAAATTCCGAGTTACGACTATTATGAGATCTAAGTAAAGTCATTTACCCACCACCCATTTACAGAGATTTTAAAGTGCGATTTGTCAGCGGACTTTGAATAACTTGAAAACCAACGGTTATACCAGGTCAAGTTATATATTCTCAGCTGTGATAAGATTTCTGATTTCGTGATGCAATTACAAGCTTGAGTGTGAATAATCGTTACAGTGCTGTTATTAAACCTCTTAAAATCGTTTTATAGGGATATTTTTACCCCCCAAAGTTACCTTTCGCGGGGGAATTTCTTTTTGTTTTTTCTACAATTGTGTGTAAATAAATTCAGTGCTGTTATTAAACTTCTTAAAATCGTTTTAAATATTTTTAATCCCCCAAAGTAACCTTTCACACAGGATTTTTTTTTTAGTTTTTCTATGATTGTGTGTAAATAAATTGTCACTGAGCTCTAGAAATGATTTTAGGAATTTTTCGTAAACCCCCCCAATCTTTAATTTTGGGGAAAATTTCTGTTTTTTTCGTTTGTATAAGCGATCCATTTGTTTTTTTGATTCTAATGTTGTTTTTTACAAAGATTATCTAGTTCAAGAAATGGATAAAAGTACAAATTAAAGCATGATAAATGCGTTTTTAGCCATTTTTTCAATTGTTTTTCATAAAATTACTTTGGTGCTACGTCTCTTTATTGATATTTGTTCATTATATCATTTGTTTTATTACAATTTATACTGATTTTAAAGCTATTTTTCATACTTTGATATTTCATAGCTTTTGTGGTTGGTTCCCTTGGCATTTATGTGTGGGGAACCAGACTGCTCTTCGTACTTTGGGTGTGGCCGGAGGAGTGGCTACGGCAGTCTCCCATAATTGCGTAAAAACTTTATTCGAGGTTCCCATCGCGTCTAGAGGGTCTGGTGCGGACTTCCTGACATTGTCGGCTAATTTGACTTCACGTCTTTTCCGACACTGTATTTTTCTCTGTTTTTTTGTCTCTCTTGATATGTATTGGTGAGTTTGTGAGCTTGCAAGTGTGTTTCGTAATCAAATTAGTCATATTCGTCTGGTTGATTCCCATCAGTGGTTTCCCACCAGTTTAGAGCTCTATTCTGTGGCACAAACTTGTTACTTATCGATTTTAATCGGTAAGTATGTTAATAGGTATTTGTATGTCTGTATGTATGTCTGTTTGTCTGTTGGATGCACGCGATATCTCACGAAAGCGAGATTGAATCTGCTCCAGAATTTGCATGTGCATTCATCTTATCTCGGACCAGAAGCCTATTGATTTTGGGCGAATTATGTCGTATAATTAGCGAGCTATCAATCAATTATTGATATAGTGATCTAGATTTTTGTAAAGCGAGAAAATTTTGAGACCCGCCTAGTTTGTGTGTGCGATGCGCAGTGCGCAAGCTACAAGAGTGAATGAATCGAAACTGCAGGTTCTGTTTTGGGGGATCCCCTAACTATCGATCGATAAGTCTTCGGTTTCCAACCGATATTCTCGTTTTGTATTTTATTCGATTCTCCACCACTTGCCGCCACAAACTCACGCTCGGCGATGGGGTAGATGACATATATATATATATTAGCTTATACCGCTTGCCTTAATTATCCCAATTTCAATATGTAGTTATTGCAACACTTATCAACGGGGATTTATTATTTATTTATTATTTGGTTATTGAATTTCTCTACAACACTGTTTCAGAATTTCAACCAGGTTGATTGGAAAAAGCGAGCGGTAATTATAATTCAGTTACATTTTTTCATGTTTAGAACCCATCGCCGAGTTAGTCATCCCCTCACAACAATTTTATATTTGTTAATTTTGCATAAAAACTAACTTCAAGATTTTGCTACTACAACTTTTATTATAAATATGTCATTGGCTTCGTTTTTCTTTGGCTCAAATCATGAGGTGCTGAATGACCATCGTTGTTCGCATATATACAGATGCAAATATATAATCTTTGTGCATGGAAAGAGTGTTATTCTATGTCAAAAATGTCCTAAGCTAGGCTATGCGCACCTACTCGTAAATCAAACTATGTAAAAATGGGTTCTCTCGAGGAATGTGAACCAAAATGGCGGACACTGGAACGTAGTATGTTTACCAGGTTGGGGTTAGACCAGAATTTCAGGTACAAATACTACAGGAGTCACTTGACTAGTCTCTGAACTCGTAATAGAACTAAAACAAGGGATTGGAATTACGACCCAACCGTAACCTGGTACACATACTACGTTCCGGTGTCCGCCATCTTGGTTCACATACTCCCGGAGTACCAAAAATGCCCTAAGCTAGGTTCAGCGCACTTACTCGTGAATCAAACCCATCTCTGACCATAGTTACTGGCGATCACTGAAGTGCCTAGAGCTACTGAGACCTTAACAAAGTATGGCAATCAATCATGGATAAGTAAATACTGCTTGGCCTCGGAATCAAAGGTTGATGTAATCATGAAACAGCTATGAGCGAGTGGACCACACATAACGGAAAAACTTGGTTACATTTGCAGTGAATGTATGAGCCCAAAGCCAACCGAGTATGAGAGCTGGAAACTTATGTGGAAGGAATAGGGCGAAATTTATTTTATGGACAGAAGCGTTTACTTATAATTCACATCAATTCCAAGCATCTGAAAGAAATAACTTGCTAGCTAATCTCAAACCCGACATGGATTGCTAACGGGCAAGAGGCCGTAGTGTGTTATCGCTCCCAAGGGATAAATCTGCAAATCTTGTCCTGTTTTGTATTATACCTCAAACGTCAGAGGGCGCTAGAGATGCGCAAAATTTTTATGTGCTTGTTATATCCGGGTGTTTGTAGATAGCTTGATTCGAAAAGCGTATACTTGAGTCGATTATGAGATCTATGGGTTTAAGCAGGGTTCTGCCTTCTCATATCCTCTTGTACATGATTGAAAAACACTTAAATTCTGTCCTTATTAATCAAATACTCTATTAGGTGTCTGAACGGCTTTCACGTGACCTTACACCAGTGGTTCTCAAACTTATTTGCGCACTAAGCAAAAAAAAATATCTTGCGACACACTTGTGAAAAAATAAAGTTAGCCTTCAACAAATACTTATGCAAATGTTAATGGGATGTGTGTGCATTTTGAGCAACAATTGAAACAAGGTTCTGTCGTTCTGTCGCATGTTAATAGATGAGACGAAAAAAATGGTCGCAAGCAAAGAACTTCAGTCGGTACGACGGTGTCTTTCACCCTCGATTGATCAATCCAATCCAACCACCTCTGTATTCCAGGTTTATTATTTTATTTCATATTCAGATTATTCACAATATTTATTGTTCTGATTGCAAATTTACAGCGACCTCGAATTATTGTCGCAAAATTACATTGCCAATCATGTCTTAACATTTAGTTGAAAAAAAGCAGTCGGGTTCACTTTAATAATTTGTATGTTTTTCGTATCTTAACTTTTACTTCAAGATAAGCTTCCCGATTTATTTTAATTATTCCCAGCTAGATTTATTGCAACATCAGTCAAAAACACCAACATCTCGGCTATGACAGTCAGAGAATGAAACGCAGTGATGCGTGGTTTGTTTACAAACAATGTTTCAACATTTGGTGTCGCAGATCGGGATGCAATAGCTATATCAAGGATGAACAATATCAGGTTAGAAAGTAGAAAAGAGAATTGATAAAAAAGTTTCAATGAGATCTATGAGTGCAAAGTTATGGGATTTTATTTCGGGTTTCTGAAGATGTTATTAACTTTGCCAACGAGAAGGAAATAGTTTTAAATTACCGACCGAGCTTTGTTATATTACCTTCAACGTTTATTGTTCGAAATATTTTCAGGCTCTTGCAATTTGCCCTTTTCTATGTTTATCAGTTGGAATGCATCATCTCATATACATTATATATACAGTATGCGAAGATATGAAAATTTAGATTTTCGTGATTACTTATCGATTTTAATCGGTAAGTATGTTGATAGGTATTTGTCTGTTAGATGCACGCGATATCTCACGAAAGCGAGATTGAATCTGCTCCAGATTTTGCATGTGCATTCGTCATATGTCGTACCAGAAGCCTATTAATTTCGGATGAATTATGTAGTATAATTAGCGAG